AAAAAAAAAAAAAAAAAAAAAAAATCAACCTTGCATTCTTGGTCTGACTGGTTTTTAATAATATCTAGGATAGTAACAAAATATAAGCAGTGTTTCAGAGAAGGATAGACTTGAAAGCAACTCAGAAGTCTTCTTGTCTCAATATCCCAATTTCCATCACACCTGTTCTGCCCTGGAGTCCCTTGTGAGCTCCCATTTTGGACCACACAGGGATGCACCATTAGCAACTATTCCCCACTGAAAGTTCTGTGTCTGACGGGCCTGCTCACTCTGCAATCTTGACACCCCCTTGCCAGAGCTGGCCAGATGAGAACGAAATGAACTGGTTAATAGGGTGATTTTTAATATTCCTCCCAGAGACACCAGGCCTTAGGAGCCTCCACTTTGAGCCACTCCCCATGCCACAGCTTCCTTTAGGATTCTCACACAATAGCTTGGCAATTAAGTCTGTTGGGATTAAAAAATACATTATTATCATAAGCTTCACCTGGGAAATCCTATTACACACAGGAGCAGTGAAGACAGGGGTTTTCTGACTTGGGCAGAGAAGATTCTGTCTCTAGGCTCTGGTAAGATAGAGGGTATAAAGTCTGGCAGAACCAGGAAGAGAGGGGTGGATCAGCTCTGGGGGACAAAAGGCTCTCCCAGGTAGAGGGGAAAGGGCTGTGCTGTGAGGAAGTGAGTTCCCAGTTACAGTGGCATCCAAGCAGAAGTGGGACAGCCAGTCAAGGAGCCTGCGGAGGTGACCTTTTCCTGGAGGAGATAGGAAGAGGGGAGAGAAAGCCCACAAGAGTGGAGTCAGACAGGGTAGGTTTGGATTCCAGTTACTAATTGTGTGACCTGGGGCATCTCCCTGAGGCTTGGTTCTGTCATCTGGAAAATGGACTAATCAGAGCTGCTGCAGAGGGCGGTTGTGAGAAATGGGAAGTGCACTTCCACATCAGGCCCTGTGATGGTACCATTAGATGACTCAGTTTATAAAAACTGACCAGCAGGATTCTGGGGCCAGAGCATCATCAAAGTCCCACCTTTCCCCAACCTTATTGGGCAAATCTGGCTCTTCCTGGCTTATCTTGGGGACCTCTCTCTTCCCCAATAGCAGGGCCAATGCTCTGTCCACCCGGCCACCAGGGTGGGTGTCTTGGACAGGTCACTCTCTCACTAGGCCTCTTTCCTCACCTGTCAGAAAAGGTGGAGCTGCTGGAGATGGTTAAAGGACTGGGCCCTTCCAGCGCTAACCTGCTAGGGTGGCTGGGCTTCTCACTAGCCATGAGTGCATGTCTCTGCTTCTGGGACTCAGTGTCTTCACAAAATGAGGGACTGGGGTCAGATGTCAATAACACCAGCTAGCAAATGCTGAGAGCTCTTACTCCAAGCAAAGGACTACCATGAGGGCTCCACATGGCCCGGCCCATTTAACCCCACAACAACTCCATGGTGCAGTTGTTGCTGTGTTGGCTTTACAGGAGAGGATACTGGCACAGTGAGGTTGGGTCACTTGTCTGAGGTCACTCAGCTAATATGAGCCCAGGCAGAGTCCCTGCTTACAACTATTGCAGAATACCCTCTTGTGGCTCCAATGCTTTGAGATACAGAAGAGGGTCTGAGCATCCTCTGAACCCCACTGTTTTGTGTGCTGAGGCAAACACGCCTTCTCAGACACAACCCCAGCTCCACCTTGGAACACATGGGAGTTGCCCAGCCCAGAGACAATGCTGCCCAGTATCCTACACAACCGGGCCTTTAGCGAGCCCCATGACTTGCCTGTACCTGGTCATCACACACTTCAGCTAGAAGCCCATTTTACAGACAGGGAAAATGAGGCTGTGAAAGGATAGAGGACCTGCCCAGATCACACAGCCAGTAACTGGCAGAGTGAGGACTGGAGCCCAGATCTGCTTGGCTCTACCAGTTGCTGCTGTCTTCCTGAGAATGACCCTTGGCCTCTGCCCTCCAGGAACTTTGGCCTCGCAGGGGAAATTTTGGTCCCACCAGCAACTCTGAGAGACGCAGCCTGAGAAGGGCCATAGGTGAGCAAGGGAGCTTTGGGATGCTGCGGCTCAGGGAGGATGGAAGAGTCCTTCAGACGGTCACAGATCAGTATGGGCAAGGGTTCAGGTAGGGAGAGTAGAGCCCCTGAAATGACCCTTGAAGGGCTGGTGAAGCTGTTGCTCCCAGTACAGGGCATGGAATGAGGTTAGGGGAGATGGGGGAGTCAGATGGGGTGCAGTCTTAGAACACTCTTCTGTGGGTGGCGGGTCTCAGCTGCATATGTGAAAGTCTTCTTTGGTTGGATAGAAAGCTCCCGAGGGGGCTGGGGCTACTCTTAAGGGAGAAGCATCTGGGTGGCCTGGGACAGAGGCAGGGAGGTTGGGGAGAGGCTAGAGAAGTCCGGGTGACTGAAAGTGAGGTGAGGCAGGGACTCCGCTTAGTGTAAAGAAAGGAAAATCATGAGTCCTTTCTAGGGGCATTTCAGGCAGCTAGCTAGCTTTGAGAAGTAAACGAGCACCTTGACAAGCAACAAGGTAATTGTAGCTTAAAACAAGGGCCACCCAAATAAGTTAGAGCCACAAGATGTCTGGTTCCCTATAGAAACTAAAGATAACACCTTGACCTATGTCCCTGAATTGTTTTTCACAGCTGTCACTTAGGCCTCAGACAAGGGGAAACTGAGGGCTGTTCTTTAAATTTCTTCCCAAGGGTTCTGCAAAGAGTCACACCCATAAGCCAATGCTTAACATTCCTATCTGTGGAGCCCAGGTTTTTAGACAGTCTTGCTTCCTAAACCAATTGCAAATCACAGAATCTCTGAATCCACCTATGACCTGTAACTCTCCTGCCTCAAAATATCTCACCTTTTTGGGCCAAGCCAATGTATAGCTCCAGAGTATTTATTTATGACTTTGCCTATAACCTCTGTCTCCCCACCTTTAAAAACCCTTGCATGTAAACCATCGAGAAGTCCGGGTCTTAAGCATTAGCTGACCTATTCTCCTTGCTTGGCACCCTGCAATAAATGCCTCTCTTTCTGCCGCTGCAAATCCTGATGTCAGTGTTTGACTTTGCTGCATCGGGTGGGTGGACCCAAGTTTGTTTCGGTAACACAAGAAGTTGAAGAAATCATTAACTGAGACTGGGAAACAAACTGGAGGGGGAGAATGAGTGGGCCTGAGACGCTCCACCAGCGAGTAGGCTGATAGGCTCATCAGATCAGATGGGCGTCTGTCCTGCTGACTCAGGGTGGGGGACGGTGGCACCCCTGAGTCCCTACTGTAGGCAAGAACTAGTCACCTCTAAACCTTCTCTATCGGATTCCCCAAACGGCCTGGGACGGGTAGAGATTATAGTCCCCATTTTACAGATCAGGAAACCGAGGCTCGGTGCCATCCCAGGGCATTCCGGGAGCCAGTCACGGACAGAGAGTCAAACGTGAGCCGGGGAGCCCATCGCAGCTCCGGGTTAAGTGCTCAGGCCGGGGTCAGTTTTCCCATCTGACAGAGGCCGTCTGCGGCTCACAGGGGCCTGGGCTCCCTCTTCTCCATCCGAACACTTGGGATGGATGTGAAGGTGGAGTTCGGAAAGGGAGGGGTGCCGCCCACCAAGTCCTCGTTCTGGCAGGCACCCCGGCCCTTGCGGGCCCTCGGTACTAGACGCCAGCTCCAAGTCAGCCGCGGCTCCGACCCGCCCTCGGGGAGCTGAACCCACGCCCCGGCCCGATCCCTCGCGGTGCAGCCAGCCCTTGGGAGGCTGCCCATGGGGATGCACCCAACCGCAGACAGATAGTCTGGGAAGGAGGGAGAGAGAGGGCCCGACCGAGTCGGTAGAGGTTGTGGGTGCCGCTAGGGGCCCCAAACCCCCCTTCAACATCCGGGCTGGAACCAGACCGCTCCTCTGAGCGGCCGCCCGCGGCGCCAGTGCGCATGCGCGCACCGAGATCACGGTCGCCCGCTCCGCCCCACAGAAGACCACGCCTCCGGCTCGCCACGGGCGAATGGGCAGAGGCCGTGGGCGGGGCGGGGCGGAGCCCGGCCCGGCTGGCCGAACCCGGGGAATGCCAGCGCCAGCCCCCGCCCCAGGCCAGTCCCAGCTGCATCTCCTGCCAGAACTCCAGGCCGCTACGCGGGGCGGCTGCAGCCTCCGCTCCAGCGCCCACGCCGTGTCCTGCATCCCGGGAACCCGGCTGGACCCGCGGTAGCGCGGCCGGTAGGAGGCGCGCGGAGGGAGGCGTGTGCTTCTGTGTGTGTGTGTGTTTCGGGGGGGCGTGTGAGGATGCAGCGCGAGCCAGTGCGTTCTTCGGTACCACGAATCGGTGGAGGGGGCTGCATCTCCCGCGGGCCTGGGGGGAAAGGAAGTGAGCGCTGGCTGGGGGGCGGGGTCCTGGACGATCCGCCTGGGCTCCCTGGGCTCGTCCCCACCCCCACCCCCACCCCCGGCGAGGAGTCTTTTTTTCACCTCCCTCTGGGTGTCTCTGAGTCGTTTTCCTAGTGCAGACGCGCTGGAAGCGCCTAACACCCGGGGCTAGACTGTCCCTTCCTCTCATCTTCCTTACAGTTCCCCCTCTTCTGTTCCCTCCTTAACCCCCCCTTTCATTCCTGCTATCCACCAACCCCTTCTGGGTACTACCCCACCCAGGCTTGGGAAAGGGGCAGGGCCGAGGCTCCTGCTGCCCCAGCCTATCCGCTTCTTGGCACTCCTCCCCAGGTTGAATGGGGGCTTTTCTCCTTGACTGCAGGGCGGGTGCACACGTGTGTGTGTGTGTGTATGTGTGTTGCAGGAGTGTGTATTGCGGGAGTGTGGGAGAGTGGTCTGGGAGGGAATGGATCTTTGATTTCTCAGACCTGAGTTCCCACCTCTGTTCCTCTGGGTTGGGGGGGTCTCAGAAGACTGGCCTAGGGGACCAGAGGTGAAGTAGGACCAAAGATCATTAACAGGTGCGACGTTCTCTCTCCCAGTCATTTCGTGTGGTGGGATTCACCCCCAAGTTCCATACAGATGAGCAGAGTGGGGCACAGAGAGGCAAAGTCAGCTGCCCTCTCAGGGCTGCTGAGCCAGAATTTGAACCTGGGTCCGCCTGGCTCTCATCCCAGAGTCTCCTCCCTACACCCGTGGTTTGGAGAGAAAAGTACTGAGGGCGACTATCCCAGGACTCAGGGGAAAGAGAGATCTGGGCAGACTTCTTGGAAGAGAGGGGCTTAAGGGTGAGGCTCAGCCAACTCAATGAGTCTGAGGCCTGCTGGAGGAACCACTGTGTTCCGCAAGGATTGACACCTCCCAGGGTCCTCGGGCTGGTCCTTGCTCCTGTCCCGAGGGTCAGGGAGTGGGATGGTCTGGCTGCCTTTGCCTCCTGGGCAGGGTGTGGTGGGCCCCGCTGCTGCTGCAGGCCAGGCCAGGCTAGTTGCCAGCACACAGAGGCAGGTCTTTGCCCTGAGGAGCGTCCCTTCTGACGAGACAGGCAGTGGGTCCACAGATAAGGCCCTGCCCAGAGTTGTACCCAGTGCTGGGGATGAGTTTACTTGCAGATTCGTTGGGGCTGGGTCTCAAAGAAGTCCACCAAGCAGAAAAGAAAAGGCAGGGCAACGCAGCCCCAAGGAATAGCATGAGTAAAGACTTGGCAGTGTGAAAATGAATGCTGGTGGGGTGGATTGCAGATGAGATAGGTCAGATGTGTGTCCAAGAAGGGTCACCTTTGGCTGTGTAGTGGGTGGGCTTCTGTTGAGGCCTGTAAGGAGGAGGCCAAAGCAGGGAGAGGGCCCTCCCTTCTGCTCTCCTCTGCTCCCCACCCAGGGTTAGCCTTGGCAGGGGAGGAGGGGCCCTGATAAAGGTTCCCAGAGCAGGGGTGCTGGGGGCAGGAGGTGCCCAGGGGCTACACAGGGCCCCAGTGCTGGGGGAAGGTAGGTGGGGCTGCCCCTGTGAGATGGGGACCACCATTGCCGGTGGGGCAGTTTGGGAGTAAGTTGACAAGTGGACTATTGGACAGGGTGGTTGTGAGATGCCTGTGGGTTTTTGTGGGAGACATCTGGAACACTGCTCTCAGGCCAGCACTGTCTCTGCCTGCTTTCCTGGCAGGCTCTCAGATCAGCCCTGGAGTCCTGGTCCCCAAACAGGAGGCCTCTTGCACCCTCAGTAGGTACCCTCTCCTACCTGCAGGGCCTAAATCATGTGTCTGATCTTTCTCTTGGCTGAGACCATCTCTGTACCTTCCTACTTGCCTATGACCTTGAGGCGGAGAACTTCCCTTTTCTGTCTCAGTTTTCTCATGTGCGGAATGGGGATAAATGCTGCCTATTCACAGGGACTGGGGGATGATGAAGATGAACTTAGATCATGTCACTGAACGCATCTTTCTAAGTACGTGGTGTCTGGTAGCCATTATTACTAATAGCACCTGGCAATCAGCATCACTTAGTTCCCTCCCTGGGGATAAGGGGCTGACTTTGGGAGAAGAAGGGTGGAAGGAAACAGGCCTTTCTTACTGAAGTGGAAGCCTCTCTTGGATTTAGTGGGTGAGGGAGACTACTTATGGGAGTGGTCTCTATCTGCCTGACTAAGTCCCCTGGCTTCTCCCAAAAGCTTCTAGCCCCTGAGGAGAGGCAAGGGCTGAGCAGCTGGGAGCACCCTAGAGTACAGCATGTGAAGGTTGAACAGAAAGCCCAGCAGCGGGCCCTCAGCTCCCCCAGCTGCAAAGAGCAGGATCTGCAACACCCCCCACCCCTCCCCGGCAGCCTCCTGGGCAGCTGGCAGCAGTCTCTCTGCAGCTGGGCTTTTCACCCGCCCTGTCTCTGTCCCCATCTATTCAAGTGTTTTGAGTGCCTTCAGAGCCCCTCCCAGGTACCCCTTGAGTGCCTCAGAGAGCTCTTCTGCCTCTCCATCCCTGATCCCTGCTCAAAACTTTCCTGGGCTCGCCATGGTCCTGAGATTTGGACATCCTGCTGCACACCTCTGAGCCCTCCTCCGGGCTGGTGGAGATGCCCTGGGATTGCCTTGCTTCAGTGCAGGCAGAGCTGCTCACTTGCCTGTGGCCTCGGGCCTTGCCTTTCCCTGCTCACCCCAGGCAAAGGGGCCAGGTCCCTTTGCGGTTGGAATCTGGATGTCTTAGGAGGCCAGCCTCAGGCTTGGAAGGGGAAGCTGTGGACAATGTGTGCTTACCCGCAAGGGCCTGGGTTACTGCTCCCCATTCTGGTTGTTTGCACGTGTGCTTCCAGGGACCCGAGCTTTCCCAGGGATAGGGGTCTGGGTTGGCGACAGCTGAGGCTGCGGTGGCCTGTGGGTTTTTTGCTGTGGTTTTCTCCCACAGTGGCCATGCGGGAGAAGGGGCTGGTGACCGGAGCACACCAAAGCCCATCCACTGGTCCCCAGCTGCCCTTCACTGTCAGGATGTGCCCTGGGGGATGGTGGACAGAAGGCTGGGAGCCCATTGGCTTGACCCACCTGCCTTGCCCGGCCAGCCCCTGCTCAGCCAGTGCCCCCTGCTGCTGTGTAACTTCTGCCAGTCGGAGTGAGGTGAGACCCAAGTGACGTGTTACTCACAGCAGGAACTAAGGAACTGGCGTGGGGTCGCTTTGTTGTACAGCGGAGCAACTCAAGGTGTAGGAACTTCATTCCCCTCATGGGCTTCTCCAGGCAGGAGAGGCGGGTGGGGCCCCATGACCTGTCCCCCGGCTCCCATTAGCTATTCTTCAGGAACAGCATCGTTCAAGAGCATATTCCTTTCCTATCGCTATTTTGACAAATTGCCACACTTGGTGACTGAAAGCAACACAGATTTATGCTCTTATAGTTTCGGAGGTGAGAAGTCCCCCATGAGTCTAATGGGGCTAAAATCCAGGCTGGCTTCTTCTGTGGGATCCTGGGGAGAGTCCGTTCCCCGTCTCTTCCAGCCTCGGGTGTCTGCTGGCGTTCCTTGTGGCAACATTGCTTCAGTCTCTGCTTCTGTCTCATTGCTCTTTCCTCCTCTGGGCAGATCCCCTCCACCTCCCTCTTGTAGGGACACTTGTGATTACATTCAGGGCCCACCCAGATAAGCCAAGATCGTCTCCTTGTCTCAAAGTCCTTAATCACATCTGCAGAGTCCCCTGTGCCATACAAGGTGTCATTCACAGGTTCTAGGGATCCGGGTGGGAGTATCTTTGGGGCCATCATTCAGCCCACCCCAGGAGCTGACTGCAGCACCACTGTAGGCGCCATTCCCAGCTCCCGCCGCCACCGCAGTGCTCACCGAGGCTGGCTTCCCCAGTCACAGTCCTGTTACCCAGGAGGTCACTCACAATGTCTGTCTCCCCTCCAGCCTGGGAGCCTTGGAGGCTGGGCGCTGCTGTAGCCCTGGCCCCAGTGTCCAGCCTGAGCCCCTGGTAGCCAGAGTTCAGGGATGTTTGGAAGAAGGGCATCCCTGGCATGGCTGCGTGGGTGGCCCCAGTGTCTGGACCCTGCATGCATTTGACAGCGTGCTGGGCCTTTCAGGGTGGAGTGCAGCTCATTTCAGACATTCACCCAAGAAGCCCAGTGCTTTGCAGGGTCATTTGATGCTCACCATCACCCTACAAGGGGATGGTCCCGCTTTACAGATGAGAACACCAAGGCCTATTACGGCCAAGTCCTGTCTGGTATATGGGGTCAGGTGAACAGGCTGGGCCAGTAGAGCAGAAAATACCTTTGTTTTACAGATGAGAATCCTGAAGCACAGAGAGGTTAATTGCTTTGCTCCTCGCTGGCCTCAGTCTCCCCATCTGAGGATGGGTATGTGGACAGGATGTTGCCCAGCCTGACATCTTGAGGCCCTGGTTCGCCCTCTGCCTGGGTATGGGGAGCAGGCGTTGGCATTCTAGGCTGCCATGGTTAGGAATAGGAAGTGACTTAGAGCAGTGCAGGGGGCCTGGAAGTGCTGCTCGCCCAGAGACCTGGTCCGCCATTGCAGGAGGGGATAAGCCCCCTGGCGCCTCAGGAAGAACCCTAGCTAAACCCCAGAGCTCCGGCCTGCCTGCTGCGGACCTGCCCCTGTGTGGGTCTCCTTTCCATCCCCATGGCCAAGGCCACACCATGCTAGGCCCTTCTTCTCTCTCAGGGGCCTGTCTAGAGCCTGGCCTCCCTGCCTACATCCTGGGCCTCCTTTCCCGTTGACCTTCTCATACATCATCGCACCCCATCTCATGTCTGAGTTCTTAGCCTGGCTTTCAGGGCGAGCCGCAACCCAGCTGTGGCAATATTTCTCTACTTCCTCTTCCCTCTCCCCTGCATTCTGTCCTCCAGACCTGCCTAAATGATTTCTTCCTCCAGAATAATATTTCCTCCCCCAAACCTTCCACCTCCTCCATCTCTTGAAATCACAATCTACCCTTTAAGATCCCGCTTTGATGCTACTTCCTCCGTGCAGCCCTCCCTGCCTGGTGTGAACGAATCGCTCCCTTTGAGAGCAGGTCTCCCTGCCTTGTACCGAGGTCTCTGCTTCTCGCCTTCACCAGGCCGACCTCTAGGGCAGATTCCCATCTGACTCCTCACTGCCGTTTGGTCAGGCACAGGGAAGGTGTGCGAGTAAAGTTGGAACGGGGGACACACCTGAACAGGACACCCAGGGCTGGAGAGTGGGTCACTGCCCGAGGGAGGGATGGTGGGCAGGCCGAGCAGGACTTTGACATGGGACAGGTTCATGCTTCTGCCCTGAATGTCCTCTTTCCCCTCAGAGCCTCTGTCTCCCATTTGTGTAATGAGAACAGCACAGCTCCTTTCTGAGGCTGTGCAGGAGCTTGCGCTGAGGAATGGCACACTTCAGTTTCCCAAAGTGGGAAATGGGCACTGTCTCCCCAGTCTTCACACCTTGAGTCTTGGAGACAGGTCTCGGGACTCGAGTCTAGGACTGCCTGTGCAGGAAGTGGAGAAAAGGGCTGTCCTGGTGAGAAACCCGCCAGACTGGAAAATAGTGTGTAGTGTTCCCCTCAATGGCGAGAGCCTGTGGCTGGAGAGGGCAGGGGCTTGCCTGGGCTCACACAGCACAGTGAGGCAGAGGTGGCTTTAGTGACCTGATCAAGTCCCATTTTGTTAGGTTGTCTCCCCTGTGGGGACTGAGCGAGCACACAGCCCCCACCCCACCCCGGGTGAGAGAGAATGTCCTGCACAGGGACACCCAGCTGCATCTGCCGCTCTCAGTACTTTCTCTGCAGGACCTGGTGCTGGACTGGGAGCCCCGAGGTAGGGTGGCCACCGCACTGGGTTGCCTGGGACTATGGGTTTCCCGGATGCGGTTCTTTCAGTCTTCAAACTGTGGTGAGCTGCTCATCCGAGACTGGGCCTGGGGCTGCCCCCTGCCCAGCAGTTTCCACCTCCACAAGTGTGGCCAGGTCCTTGGCTTCTTCCTGTCCTGCCCAAGGCCTGCAGGAACCCCTGACCTGGAACACCCTTTCAGAAGCTCCTCTCCCGTGGCCACTTGCTTACAGATGCTGTTTACAACAGTGGCTCCTGCTGTTCCTACACTCTCTCCTGCTCACAGCACCCTGGGCGGGAGCCCATTCCCAAATGAAGAACAGCTGCAGGGTCAGGCCTGTGACTCAGTCAGGATCACACAGAGCCAGGCCTGCAGCCAGCATAGCCCTCACATGCACTGCCGGGGGACATCACGGCTGCAGGACCAACCATTCCCCCAGGACCAGCTGGAGACCCCACGCCCCGTACACGCTTGACCCTGCCCACAAGGCCCTCTGTGTCTCCTAGCAGGGGAGCGGCCTGGTAGGATTTATGTTAGAAAGATCACTCAGCAGCCGGGTGGAGAATGGATTGGACACAGAAACAATAAGGGAAGAGGAGGGGAGAAGAAAGACAGGATTTCCCAGCCCTGGTGCCAGCTCGCCTGGTGGTGGCTGGAGTGACTCACTGGGCCTGGTTGCCTTGGCTCTGGCGCCAGAACCCAGGAGCCTGGAGCTTTGGGTGGCCCAGGGGCTGAGAGCCTGAGGTGGCGCCGAGCCTGGCTGTCCCTCCACAGCACATTCTCCCTCCCCACCCTGCCATCCATTCCTCAGCACACGGCACATCAGAGAGACAGGGGCCTGGGAGGTCACAGTACACCCACGAAAGGACAAAGAGACACGCTTTAAGCATCTTGTTAGGTGGTGACTTAGGGAGCAGATGGAGGATGGGGTATGGGATAGAAGGGGATAAATACATTAACAGAATCAAAACCACAAATAACCAGGCAGCCACCAAATGGAGTTTCTGCCCTTTCCAGTCCCCTCTGGCTTCTGGCCTTCCCTGCTATGGCTCAAGCCAGGGCACTTCCAGTCCTGGGTCACTGCATCAGCATCTGACCTTTAGTCTTGCCCCTGGCTCCCCTGTGCCTCAGTAAGTGCCAATGCCCCTCTGCCTGGCATCCCCAGCCCTGCAGAGCTGGTCCTGCCAACTCCCCCCCAGGCTCCACCCACCCAGTGCCCTCCCACCTTTTCTCTCTCCCTGTGCCGCATCCTGCCCTGCTATGCCCTTGCTGATTCTGGCCTATCCTTCGGGCCCTGCTCAGGCTCCATCTCAGAAGGCCACCACCATTTCCCCCAGCCCCTTCCTCATCAGCCAGCTCAGCGCCAGCCCAGATCGGGCATCAGGAAAGATGTGCAGGTTGGAATTGACTGTGTCCCCTGAATGATGAAGCCCCAGCTGTTCAGCCCTCCCCTGTTCATATGGCAAAGGGCAGTGGTGGGGGGTGTCTTCCCTTGAGAGGGGAGAAGAGGTTGAGGAAGGGAGGTAGGGGAAAGGGGGCTTTGATTGGCAGGAAATGGGTGAGGGCGTCACTGGCTCCTTCGGCCAGCACTGGGTGATACCCACTCTGCCAGGCCTGTGCTTTGCACTGGGCACCAGTGTGGGGTATGGGGCAGTGGGGCACAGGAGAAGGACCCCCAGTAGGCATTCCTGTGTTTTTCCTTCACCCCCACCACTGGCTGGCCACCAGGAAGAGTTGAGGCTCTCTCCCACTTGGCCCTGGAACCCAGCCCCTCCATGTCCACATGTGAGCCTGCCAGTCCAAGTCCTGTGGACGTTCTTATGGTGTATCTGGTCTAGTCTTTTCTAGTCCGTTTCCCATGTGGCAGCCAGATGGGGCTCCCTGAGACAGCCATGACCAAGTCCTTCCCCTTCTCAGCACCCTTCCACACTCCCCATCACCTTAGGATGAAGCCAGACTCCGGCACCTGGCATCCTGGGGCCTCTGGTGGGATCCTCTGCAGCCTCATCCATGATCCCTGCCCCACACCTCTTCCCTCCCCTTTTTTTCTGAGCACGATGCCACCTTCCTCAGGGCTGAAAACATCCCCCTAGGAATGGTCTCTGGCTGGCGTCTCCCCTTCTCAGGCGCAGAGGAAACCTTGCAGGTGTGTGTTTGGTTGGGGTGTGGGGGTGCCACACACCTGTAGGACCTTCTTGTGGACTGCCCCAGGTGTTGAGACACTCTGAGTATCAAGCCTGCAAGTGTCCTGAGAGCTAGAGGAGGAGGCTGAGATCAGAGAAGTGGAGGCTCGCAGAAGGTCACACAGCCTACGTGTGACAAAGTCTAGTGCTCGGACCCAGCCTGGGGCACTTTCCCACTCTGCCTCCCTTCCCCCTAGGTCAGCCCCCCTGGGTATGTGGTGTCCAGCTGGACAGGGCTACAGCTGTGAAGGGCCCTGATCTGCTGGGACCTGGGTCACCACATTCAGCGAGTCCTTTTGTTTACCTTTTTACTGAAGCGTATGTAACTAATCTACAGACAGGTGTGTAGGTCATAAGTATACAGTTCGGTGTATTTGCACAGGGACCACACCCATGTAAACACCACCCAGATTAAGAAGTAGTTTTACCAGAACCCCAGAAGCTCTCTCACACCCCTTCCAGTCTCTACCCCCAAGATAGCCAAGTCCTGCTTTCTGTTCACTGTAGATGAATTATGCTGGCTTTGCTTGTCTAAAAAAAAATGGATCTTTTTAACAGATAAAAATTGTTTATGTTTATCATGTACAACGTAATATTTTGAAATGCGTATACATTGTGGAATGGCTAAATCGAGTTAATTATCACACGCATTACCTCACATACTTTTTTGTCCTGAGAACACTCAAAATCTACTCTCGGCCAGGAGTGGTGGCTCATGCCTAGAATCCCAGCACTTTGGGAGGCCGAGGCAGGCAGATCAGGAGCTTGAGGAGGTCAGGAGCTTGAGACCAGCCTGGCCAACATGGTGAAACCCCATCTCTACTAAAACTACAAAAATTATCCGAGTCTGGTGGTAGGCACCTGTTATCCCAGCTGCTTGGGAGGCTGAGGCAGGTGAATCGCTTGAATCCGTTAGAGGGAGGTTGCAGTGAGCCAATATTGCGCTACTGCACTCCAGCCTGGGCAACAGAATGAGACTCCAAAAAATGAAAAGTCTACTTCTAGCAATCTTCAAGAGTATAATCTATTGCTATTAACTATTGTCACCGTGTTGCAATCAATCTCTTGAACTTATAGATCTCTTGAACTTACTCCTCTTATCTAACTGAAATTTTGTGTCCTTTGACATCTCTGCAACCTCCCTCCCCACCCTCACCCCTCAGTCCCTGTTGACCACCCTTCTACTTTCTGCTTCTATGAGTTCAACTTTTAAAAACTTCCACATATGAGTAAGATCATGTGGGATTTGTCTTTCTGTGTCTGGCTTATTTCACTTAGCATATTATCTTCCAGGTTTATCTATGTAACAAGTGATGAGATTTCTTTCTTTTTATGGCTGAATTAGATTACATTGTGTG